TGCAAAAAAAATAAGAAATCAGAAAGGGGGCAAATGCTTTTTCACAGCTCTGTACTTGAATGGACATAAAGAATGTTTATTAACCATTAACTCTTATTTGGAATCACAAGTTATTTCTTTCTTTCAAGTTATTAACAATAGACTGAATATTTACATATGGATTTTAATTTTCTACCTAAATAATGTTTATATTCTCCCCATTCAGGTTCAAGGACTCTCTGGAGGCAACTGTGGTTACTGTGGTCGCCATCTGCACCGACCACAGAGTCTCCACCTACCGTCTGCCAGCGCTCACCGAGCCTTCAGCCCGGGTCGGACATCAGAGCAAACCCGGCTTGCCCGACGGAGCCACTGCACCAGAACGCAGAAAATCCAAGGCAGAGCCTGCAAAAGAGAGCAGCAAGCTAGAAGGTAGGACTAGGGCTGATATCAGATTTTCACTACACGATTATGGTTGCCAAAAGGACTCACGATTACAATATTATCGCAATATCTCTAAAAAATGTGAAAACAAAATGTTATCAGTCAAATTCATCTTTAAGCTTTATTGGCAAAACACCCATAGGCAGTTTGTGTGTTTGTTTCACCTTTAAATTTAAAGTCACACTTGACCTATCAGCTGTGTGTGTTCTCCAGAGGAGGAGGTGCTGCCCCCCCCAGTGGCTCGTCCAGAAGGGATAAAGCTGGCAGATCGGCAGGTTGAGAGGCTCCGAAAGGCTGCAGAGAAAGCTGAACAAGCTCGAGCAAAGATAGAGAAGAGAAAGCAGGAATGGGCACAACTGTGAGTGTCAAGTCCAACAACATCACCTCAGTCCTAGATTAACATTCTCTTTTATAGTCATGGTGTTTCCTGTTTTCTTAAAGGTTCTGTATGTAACTTTTAGAAAACCGTTGATAATAGCGACACCAGTGGCTGATGAGTGAACTGCATTTGGCATCCTGTTGCTTACGCTCTCAATTCATACACAGTCCGTACTGACATACACTAGACTGAACGCTGGGAAATAAACAATTTTTTAAAGTTACGTTACAACCTGTTGGCAATAAAAAAAATATTAATACATAAAAATTGTACATAAATGTTAGAATTATTAGAACCTTTACAAATTCATAGGAATTTAGGGGGCTAAAATGAACTGTGGGGTTCTACTGTAACTATTGTGATGCTGGTGAAAAACTGTGACGGTCTGTTGGTGTCTTAGTTACGCAGAGAAGCCGGACGAGAACTGCGAGGATCCACAGGATGTGCAGGCCATATGCGAGGCCGAACAGAACATCGGAGACTTGAAGCTGAAGTCAGCAAAAGACTTCACAGTACCCAAACACCTGAGGATCAATGCTGAGAGGAAGAGAGCAGAGCTGATAGGCCTGGAGGAAAATGTACACATAAACACACGCATGCCCTAATACACATCTTACCTCATTTACAGCATGAACTCCTTCTGTGTAATTTGTGTCTCACAAGTGTCTCACAAGTGATGCATTGATGTATTGTTCCATGTGAACGTCTCAAAAATGACTTCATAGGATGGTTTAAACAAAGACTTTCACAACAACATACAGTAATGATAAAAAAAGAAAGAAAACAAAAAGCAAAACATTAACAAATTTATTAAAAACAACAACAATCACTTGATTTATTAGCAGATTAATTTAATGACTCTGTCCACCAGATCCGCGAAAAACAGACTGAGATGAATCGACGGATTGTGGCGTTGCGGGACTCCAAGGTTCGTCTGGTGTCTCAGTTGCGCACTCAGGCTCAGCTGGTCCAGAAAGTCCAGCAGCGTCTGGCGGCCCATCTCCACCGCCCTCAACCCGCCCTGCCCACCATACTACCAGAGGAAACCCCAGAGAAGAGGCTGCAGTACAGCCACGCTACCCTGGAGCGATACCGGGTTCTGAGGGAACAGAGGTACAGGGGCCAGGTTTTAGTTTGACCCAGTCTAGACTGAGTTTAAATGATCACATGACCCATACAACACAGGTTTAAACCCATCACCCTACCATAATGTTTTGATTAGATGATAGTGTATTTTTAAAGGAATATATCTATGTTCAACAGGTTCCAGACCTTGGAGCAGGAGGAGCAGGAGGGAGCCGCAAGTTTATTGGAGCAGCTGGAGAAAGAGATGGATGAAGAGGAAGGCAAAGAGGAAGAAGAAGAGGAGGAGAGAGGAAAGGAAGGGATTCCCAGTCTATCAGCTTCACCTGTAACCGGAGAAGAAGAGGAGACAGCAGTGGAGGAAGGAGCGGAGCTGAGCGAGCTGGAGGAGGAGCTCCAGAAGGAGGAGGAGATGAGACTGCTGCATGAGCAGGACTCTCTGCTGGAGCAGGTCTGTTCTATCTTCAGGGATGTATGTGTAACAGTGTAGAAACTGTATTATAGTGGATGTATTTTTTATTCATCAGATGGAGAGTTCAGTGTGTCAGTTCGACGCGGAGCTCCGGCTGCTTCATCACCAGAAGCTGCGTCTGGACTGGCAGCTGAAGCTGGCCGACCTCCGCCAGCTGACGCTCTACCAGGAGCTGCTGCTCCTCAAGGACTTCGAGAGGAGGGAGGACGACCTGCAGGAGAAGCTCAACGAATGCATAAAGGAGGAGGACAGCATCACGGTGGGAGAGAGTTCACATACTGTACCTATGGACTGAATCTTTGCATTGGATGTGTACCTTAATATATTTGTTCCCCTTCCTTCAGCCTTTGGTTTCAGTTCAATTCTGTGCTGAATGAAAATCACCTTTTAGACATTTTTGGAAAAGTAAAATCTCTGACTTTGGCTCTCCCCAGTAGTAATATCAAAGTTTGCAATGCATGCAGCTAACAGAAACACATACCTACACATACATTTTTCTAAAAACAAATATTTATGGTGAGACACTGCAGGCTGAAACAATGGAGAAGATGTAAGATTTAATTCACTGGTTCATTTTGAGATGTGGGGCTTTTTGTTTCCATTACCATGGGAAAAAAAACACTCACATTTAATTATTTACACATACATTGCATATTAACCATAACATTTCAGAAAACTTGTAATATAAAAAACTTCAGTCGCACTTACATACACCAAACCTTCCAGTTTTATTCCTATCTATATTATGAGGGTTTTTACTGAAGGGGTTTATTCATACAGTATGTCATTCATAGCCTGATTTATATCACATTTTATATATTAAATATTATTTTTTATGGACATATCTAAAATTCTAAAAATGAAACAAGAATTAGCTTTATCTAATGTTCAGATATCTGTTTTGGAAATGTTTGCAAATTAGTGCTTTTTTAATTAGATAATGCCTAATTTGCATATTTAAACATAAAAT